GGCCAGCGCGGGGAGGCGGCGGGGGGGGCTCTGTGCTCACACAGCAGCAGCAGCTCAGTAGTGCATCCCCCGGGTGGATCTGGGGCAGTGGTTGTTCTTGGTTTGTAACACGAAAAGCCCCGCCAAGAATTAGGCTTTGTCAGCCTAGAGAGGTGAGTTGGTTTTGAACGAGTTGATTTGTGAGGAAGACAGAAATACATCTTTCCTCGCCTTTCAAAATAATCTGGCAGGATTGGCAGCGTGTAAACCCTGCACACTGGAAGGGCCATATTAAAAAAAAAAAAAAAAAAAGAGTTCAGAAGGTAAGATCTGTGTGGAAAACAAAATGTAGTTTCTGAAAAGTTAAAACCGAAATGTTGTATTTGTCTCAAAATTCCAGCAATTTCAGCTCCATGTTTAGTTTTGATTAATGAACATACAAAAGCATGTAACTTCATCAGATTTTCTCTTGTCATATATAGAATTTCTAGCCTGTATTAATGACATTGTTCTTTTTGTACTGTGAAGAATATGCGTATTTACTGCTGAAAACCACTAGGTAGTTAGTATATATGTAACCGTAATAAAGAGAGAATGTGGAAACACTGTGTAGATAGCTCTTTTGGTTTTGTTTAATAAACAATTCTGTTATTTGTTTTGTAGGGGAAGAAGTAGCCTTTATTATATATATATATATTGCAATGTTCTTGTTTTGTTATCAGGAATGTTTCACCAAAAAACGGCAGTGAAGTATTTTTCTCACGAGATATTTATGAAAAATATTCATTGGGTCCCAGTCTTTCTGAACTGTGGCATTTATCAAACAGGTATATTCTCTTACATCATAATTTCATGCTGTTTGTTGTCGTCCTATTGATACATAGCTTTTCTGTTTTGGGAGTAAGCTGCATGTTTTCCAGCGTGCCAGGATTTGTCACTGACTCCCTGGTCCTGCAGTTGATCTGTGTTTTACCTGTTGTGACTCCTCAGAACGCAGGAGAATCTAGGTTGGGACCCCTGGTCTATCATATCTTTTGTGGGGGTGAAGTGGTATTTGGGGGTTTTGGGATGGGCTTTGGGTCACTTTTTGGGGGTGGTGCTTTTTTTGCTTTTTCTTAGCAGGATGATGTTTGACCTGTACTTCTAACTCATAAGGCTCTCATTACCTATGAACCAGACTTAATTGTTTTTAGAAATCTGTTTTTAGAAATAAGTGTCTTGCTGTCTGTCCCTGTTTTCTCTATATAGAAGGCTGACAGTAGTGTACATTGAAATTATTTTTACTTAAATGCTTTGAAAGTAGCCAACACTTTACTTAAATCCAACAGTGGCTTAGGTGCAGTGGAGATGCAATTAATTCCTTGAGTAATCAAGAAACTGTGTAGAGTGGTAGCTGAAGAACGGGAAATGAAATTACATGAGCACAGGTGGTACCATTAGTATTGTCTGTGCAATTTTTATATTTTTTTTTATTTTCTTGAGGAAGTAGAATCAACATGAATTTCACATAGTGAAAAACACAGCTCATAATTGCAGGATTTCCAAGGTTGAAGGACTGTATTTAGGCAGTTGATGTTTTTAAGAAGATGTTAAACTTGTGTGGTGGTGCAGATGACAAGGGTCTCATGGTGGATGATAGTTCACACCACAAAAAATGTGGATGAGAGACCAAGGTGCTCTTAAGTGGCAAATCCAGCATGTGAAGAAACCATTTGTTCTAAAGGGGAGTTGCTATGTTTTTATGAACTGACACTGAGCAGGCACATTTGAGGGGAATACCTGTCCACATCACATAACTTTTTATATCCTGCATTTTCAGCCTTTTTCTGGTTCATCTCTGTTGTTGCAACTTTCCTTGAACTTCCAGAGCTGAGCACAGCCCTCACAGCTTGCTACTGGGTACACTAGGTATTACTGTAGGATTTTTCTTTTAGATGATGTAGAAAAAGGGTTTCTGGAGTAGACATGACTGCAGTGGAGGCTGTGATTGTGTTCAGTTGTGTATCGTAGAAGTGGGTTTATAGCCAGAAGAGAGTTTGCAAACAGACAAATTCAGAAATTGATGGAACTGGATTGTATGGCCATAGTCAAGAGGAAGAGAAAGAGAACCTGTTGGGGCAAATGTGAAAGTAAAAGCTGAAGGAAGTTTGTCGATTTGAATATTGGGGTTTCTGATAGATGTTTACTAAAATGTGTGTTTTCTCACTAGAGAAGCTGTGAATGCAGGTTGCTGATAAATGAAGGGGAAGAATTTAAACCGTCAACTCAAATAAAGTATAATGCTCTGTCAGATTATTTTAGTTTGCACCCTGATGAGGACTGTGACAGCACTGCATACCAAAATGATCTTTGTGTGCTGCCATTTCATTCAGTGCTGAATAGAGCCAGTTTAAGCTGCTAGAAGCTCTTGATATTCCTACATTGGTATATCTGAGTCAGCATCTTGTCACTGCTGCAGCTTAATTAAATTTGCCAGTTTGTGCCACAAGGATGGACACATTCTCATATTCAAAGAGACAGCTGTGAAGTATTATTAAGAACTGTGGATGTGATACTGCTGGTTTTGAATAACACTAGGGATGTTTTCTACTGCTGAAATAATGTCTTAAAAATATGCTTTTTCCAAGATCATCAGTTAATGTTCATTTTGTTAACCTTAAGTATTTCCTTTCTTATGAATGGTTATTTTAAATAAAGCAGGGCTAAGACAGCCTTCATATGCTGAAGTTGTTTAAGAACCAGCTTTATAATGTTCCTTTGTTATTGTCAGGGCAGCTACACCCTTGTATTATTTTTGGCAATTCATTTCAGCGTTGTTTAGAAAAATGAAACTCTTGAATTGTGTAATCTGTTTTTAGGAATTTCTTCATTGGAATCTGGAATTTCTGTTGTTACAACTAAGTAGTTTTAATTTACTTGGTTTGTTTTGTGTTTTTTTTTAAAGAGCTCTTTACAGTTAAATCTTTCTTATTTGCTATCATAGCTTTGACTCATAAGTTAGATTCTCTGTGGGCAAACTATGAACACCAGCCATCAGTGAATGGCAAAATGTTCCAGAACAATCAGTTTCCTATTTAGCTTGTCACCTCTGTACTGAATATACAGACTTAATATATATATACCATTATGTTTAAAAAAAAAAAAAAAAAAAAATCTTCTTTAAATCAGTGGCAAACCTAGTGTTAGTCTGGTTGTCCAAGTGAACTTTCAGAATAAGGAAATTCCTGTGGTCTTGATTAGGAGTTGGCCTAGTACAGTATCTCACAGCGTGTTCTGCTGGATTTGAAGTTTAGGCTTGCAGGACTGCTTTTATTAATTTTGACAAATATTAGTATGTGAAAAGTATAAGTTCTTTCATGTATTACTTTTCTTTCAGAGAGGCAAAGAAAAATGTGGAGGCACTGGCAAACTCTTCAGAAAGCAAACAGGCTTCTAGCACACAGGCTGCAGATCCACTTGAGGCAGTGGCAAAAAGCCCAGCTGATGAGCATCCTTTTCCAGAACCCAGACTCCCCTATCCATTTACCTCTTGTTTGACTGAGAAGGAGCAGAGAACATATTTGTATCTGATGGCTAAGTACTCAAAAAAAACCCACCATTTTCAAGTTAATGCAACAAGTCAAAGAGAATTAGGCATGTATCTGGTAAGTGTGCATAAATGGACATCACAGAGGGAATCATGCCATTTTTTTATTATGCAGAGTTAAGGAAAATGTAGCAAAACTATTTCATTTTAACTGGATGGGGTTTTTGTGGGTGGTTTGGTTTGGTTTTTCAGTAGTAGTCTAAACAACTGATGTTCATAGCTGATCAAGCACCCACCCTCCAAAAAAAGCCACGTTTTTTTAATAAGAAGTTCAAAGTTGACTTTGCTGTGATTTTAGCATTTCATAATGGCACGTAGCAGTCCTGTATAATATTAGGAGATGGAAACATTTTTATGAGATATTTGACAGCACCCTGTAATGGAAACTTTCTTCATCAGCATGTGAGAGTATCTTACAGAATTGGAAAGGTGCAAGTTCACACTTGCTGCTTGGTCACAGCTATGTTGTTTAATAGTGAAAGGCTATGTCTTATGTTGGTGGGAAGCATCATTTTAATACAATGTATAATGTTATTAATCAGCCAGTGGTTTTGGGCCATTGCATTTGGTTTCCCATGCTTCCTTATTAATGCTAATTCCTTTATTTTATACTGTAACAATAGGAATGTCGTTCCCAGGCCCATTAGTACCTACTGCATTATTGTTACTTATAATTGCTTATGTCAGAGCTCAGATTTCTTTGTTGCTCTTGTAAATTTGCCCTAGGGATGTCTTAGAAACCTTTCTTCTTACAAACCACCAGTGTATGACCTGTTTTTTGAGAGGGAGGGTGTTTTGTCATTTGGGGTTTTTTTTATTATTTTTTTTTAAGGAAGTGGGCCTTGCAGAAATTCTTTCTTTAATTAAGTTAAACTCTGAACATGTGCAAAGACTTGCCAAATTGAGCAGCAAGTGGCATCTGTGCCCTCCCTCATACTGTCACCTATGCTACCTCTGAAAATTTTGCTGGTTAAATACCTAGCCAGAGGATTCCATTCTCTCTTTAAAAAATGGATTTTTTCCTTTCCTGCAGCAGATGAAAGAAGCAGTAAACAATGAAATTGCAGAATTTATGAAATTTGCTCAAAACGCTGCAAAAAGCTGCGCTCAGGATTATGATGTCATCTCTGAAGATGCACTACTTTATACAGAGGTAATTAGCAACACCGTGTTCTTCTCTTGTTGAATAATCACACTGTAACTGTGAAGAAGAGAGGTAGGCACTGCTCATGGAGTCTGCTGATTCCGTGTTGGGATGAGACATGAGAAGATGCCATGTGCAGCATGGTTTGGCCCACAGTTAGTTGTAGCCAGTAAGGTACTTTGTAAGTGATGTCATCGAATACAATACTATACAAAGATTTAGTTATCAAGTAAATGACGTCTTTATATTTGGGAAGGGCAAAATAACATTTTAAGTGTGCACTTAGACCAACAAGCTGCTCCTAAATATGCACCACTAGACAGAATTTTAAGCTTTCCTGCACAGTAGCATGTTATGCATTCACTTTAATGAGAGGTTGCTCAGGCTTTAATCATAATCATCTGAAAGTTCATGGTGTGTTAAATACCCACTTTGATGATTCTAAAATCAAGCATGAATGCAACTTCCTATATTGTGCTTAGTTTAATAGCACATTTCGGGTAAAGAATTCTAGAATGTGGGTTTGTTAAACTTTGCTGTCAGTGGGTTTACTTGCTTTTGCTTGTTTTCCTTGTAGCATCTTGCCTTAATTGAATTGGCCTCCTTGAATACTTATTGTTAAAAGTTTAGTCTTTTCTAGTAAGTGCCACATCACCTTCTTTTATGGAATAAAACAGAAGAATAAATGTATTTATTCAAAAGTAGAGCATTTAATTAAATTCAGAAGGATTTATTTTATTTCACTGTAGCACCTCAGCACATGCTTTTTCATGCACAAGGTAAATTTGTCCTGTTAACACATGGTTTGGACATGTGTGAGAACAACCATCTTCGGTTTTTTTCTTAAAATGTGAGTTAACTTTTCCATCTTCCATTTGTGTCTATTTTTCTAAGTGATTTTGTCAGTTAAATTCTTATGAAAGATACAAATGCAAAAAGTATTTTTTTTCTTTTTATGTTAGGAATTATTTCGTGCTTGTATTGGACATGTGCAAAAGTATCCTGAGTTTTACACACTTCAGGAGATCATGAGTATCATGGGAGGAAAGTTTCATACACAGTTGACCTTTAAGCTGGAAAAAAATCTTCTTGCAATGGTAATATCTTAATTATATGTATTGGTTTGGGTTTTTTTTCAGATAAGTAGAATTACATCTGGATTGTGTTGTAAAGATCCAGATTTTTTACAAGTGTAACTCGGAACTTGAGTTAGAGGTTATAGTTTATAATTAAAATTGTTAATGAAAATGTTAATTAAATAATTTCAGTAGTAAGACTGTTAAAACTCTCCACTATATGTTTGCAATAAAACAATTATACTAACAGTATATTTTTAATATAACACTGACATTATCATGCACCTGCAAAAATTGTTTTTCATTATAAGAAGTGCAGTGTTGAGTCAGCATGGTTTCAGTTAAACCTGTTTTCTGGTGCTGCTTGATTTCTTTAAGGGTACAGCAAGACATGGTAAAATAGATTTCTCCACCATGCCTGTACAACTGCCCACAGATTATAAAACTGTTACATCTATTATAACTCCGGAAAAAAAAGCTTCCGTTATGCACAGTGTAAGTAGCCTTTTAATTGTCATTTTTAAGGCATCTTTTGTAGAGAAGAGCGATTTGGTCCTTTATTTGTAGCAGGATTAAGTTTCTTCATATTTTTATCCTAATCTTGCACGTCTTGTAGCATAGGAATGTATAGTGTATCATCATTTATTTGGTGTTTCATTTATAGCAATCACACTGCCCTCTTCAGAAGTAGAGCC